ATATATATATATATATATCTCCTTCTTTCGGGGTGGGGGGGGATTTAGCATAAACTACACTATAGGCTATCTGCGTCTTTATTCACCGACAATAAAATCAAACCCTGGATTCTAGAGTTGTAAGTTCGTAAACTTACCCCTGATCATTAGAGGACTCCCACGTAATAACTCTCGTTTTACGGTAGTATGGTCCTTTTTTAATTATTTTTGTTGGTTCTCCAACAATGTTCCTATTGCTATCATAGTTCGGCAGCCATGATCTCGAAACTGCTCTTTTGTTTGTTTGACACATAAATAATTTTCCACCATTTTGTGACAACGACAAATTTTGTGATTACATTAACCAAAAAATAAGAACATAAAACTTAGTTTATTATATATATCCATATATGTTGTGAGACAGCTATTGAAACTAAAACTACTGTGTACCCACAGCTGCCGTCAATAGAGTGGAATATTTGTTTCCCGAGAAAATTGAAATAGTATCCATTTTAGCAACATACCCATAACGGAAGTCTGTGTCGTTTTTTTAGCACCTTTAAAATAAATACAATTATTTTCACCTTAAGAAATTTTCTTTCTAGATTTGATAAAATAGCTAAACTCTTTTTATTATGGTTCACAAATATTCATTTAGTGAAATTGAAAGTTGTTTAACAGGTTTATAACACATCAAAAGCTTACTTCTTCTTTTTCCACCCTTTCTCCACTTTCCACTCGAAATCGGCGAAAGAGGTCGCCACTCTCGTGTTCAACGGAAGCAAGCTAAAACAAAATATACATTAAAATCACTTTCTTCTTTTTATTCTGAAAAATATAAAGCACTTTTGGTTAAGCTGATTAAATATATTATTGATTGAAATATCGGTTCGCGCTGCAATTTTTTTATGATTCTTGAAGTGCAGGATATATATTTATATCACAAAATAACATAGTTTTGATATTTTTGTCATATTTTGGAAATAAACCTAAAACTAACAGAGTTTGCTGATCTTGCCATTATTGTTTTAGTACTCCGTATCAAACGCGTTAATAAATATGCTTTGTCTTTTGTTGAACTGGATGCCGTTGTAACGACATATATTAAGCATTGAATATTTTGTTGCTCATTCACTCCGTATTGGATTTATTGCAAATACCTAGAATAATCCTAATGGAATATTCCACAGGAAAGTGCTATCGCAGAATGTTACGAAATTGTATACAAGTATAAAACTGCCTTTTACAATGCATTGGATTGTGCAAAATTAGTACGTTTTATAGAACACGATGATTAAAAATGTATACTGATAATGTGAAAATATTAAAATAATATACAAAATCAGTGTGAAGCACACCTTGTTAAAACATTTCCTGCTGCGCAACGCCACCATGGTAAAAAGTGAAACACCACTACTAGGACTTTCATTTACAACAACATTTTACAACGTTAATACGTATTTCATTGACTTAACTTCTGTCATATGATATAAGTCTTTAATATATACTAGGTCTATGTAAAAAGTGCCAATATCTGGGTAACGTTTGGTGTATTTTAGTGTTTAAATGGAATGGTTAATGTGAGTAGTAGCTACTGTTTTTCTTTTTGTAAAGTAGCAAAATGAAAGTTAATTCAAGATAATGTTTGTTGGTTTAACCAATCTTCTTATCGACTGGGTGTTTGAAATGTACAAACGAAAAATTATATACTCATATAGTTTGAATAATGATTTAAATGCAGTCGTAATAAAAAAACAAAACATTTCCAATGAGCCTGAAGACTCAAGTATAATTTATTTGTTTGATTTTTGTATCAAATGGGCCCACTCTGTTTTTAAATATGTTTATGTCGCTCAGGACGCAAGTGAATTTCACAACTAGTAGTTGATATATTATAGAGTATGGTTCTCTGTACTTCGTAGTTCATTTCATAAAGTTTTTGTCTGTTATTGTTCTACAACAGTACTTAATGTTATATTACTAGCACTATATTTAAAGATTCAACTGAATAATATATTAAACTGCAGGAATGCATGAGCGTAATCAGAGTAGACAAGCAGATAGATAGGCAATGTTTGGTATCTTCAACCATTGGGTTAGAGACCCCCAAACGTTCAGGCGTAACCATCAATAATTTGGAGCTGCTGGCCAGAGGGAGAGCAAACAGCAACCGTCGCCTAGTTGGCTACTCTTAAACCAATAGAGAGACTGAATATCAGTTATAAAATGCGGAACATATTCAGCGATATTTCACGGCTCAAACCTTGGACCTTTTGATTCACAGTCCGGCTCACTAGCTATTAGACCACATCCGGTGAGATAGGTAGATATCCTTTATTTTAAAGTCTCAGCGTGAATTAGATTCTTTGTAATATCCTATAATTTGTTTTTCAAATCGCCCGTCTTCAGTGTTATAGTTTTATATAAAGCCAAAATGTTTTATTCATAAGTTCAACTAAATTAGGCTTTAAACCGTGGAATTTTAACAAATGATAGATTATAATCGCAGATATTCAATGTAGTTTTATAATTTTTTTCAAGAACAGAAATTTACACAATGTTATGTATGTAGACCGGAACTAATCCTCGGTTATGGAAAGTAGGCCCTTTGAACATCGTGATATTTTGGCATCATTAGAAGTAAAGATTGAACCTTTTTATTTCTTTAACAGAATCCAAACTTAGAGCATTCTGGAGTGATGCTACTTATGTTTCAACAATTACATTTTATACTTTTCCAATATGAGTGAAAGAAGCAAATGAGCTTCTAAACTAAATTAAAATCACTGGTTTTCTAGAACTTTCGATTCTGCGAGTTGTGTTTTATATCATTTCGGTTTTTAGAAAACTTTAAATTTTTATGGACTTGTGGAGGGTTAAAATATAGAAGCTAGAAACACTGGAGGGCCATGATTTATTATTATATAGTCTTAAAAGTATGAGGATTTCCTACTAACATATATTTTGGAGTAATAATTTTTCAATGCATAAAGTTGAACTTTAATTTTTGAAATCATCATGAGTGTGCAAACTGGATACATTCAATTATGGTTCCTGTTGTGGTCTGGACCACGATCTTCTATAAGAAAATATTCTGCTTGAGGTTTATTATGTTACAAAATATAACAAATTATGTCAGTGAGTTGTAATTGTTATGGTGGGCTTAGCGTGGCCTGTTGGTTAGGGTGCTCGACTCGCAATGTGAGGGTTGCGAGTTCGAATCCCCATTGCCGAACATGCTCATCCTATATGGTTGTCGTCTGAGCTGGTCACCCGGATGTAAAAATTCTTGGCTTACAAAACTTACCGGCTGACCCAAAACTAGTTTGGATTAAGGTCGTTACTGAAAAAAAATGAAGGTTATAGTTGTTATGGTATTTCAAAATCAAACTTAAATCGTGTCGTGAGTATATAAGATCCACTTATTAATTAGTTACTATTTTATATATTAATTAGTTCATATCCTTTGTTTCGCCTGCTTATCTGCTATAGTCTTCATAGATAAGTACTGTTTGTGGTGGCAATGGGTGGGATTCGAGCACAGTTCTACTTGTTAAAAAGGCTGGTGCCTCTACCTACAGGACTTAGGTGAAACATTAGCTACAAATCATGACAATGATGGATATCCGATCTATACACTTTTAACGTAAGTAATCAAAATTAAAGTTGGTAGATTTAGCATCCAAAGCGATTATATATATATTTAATTACTAGTTATAAGATGTGATCCAACTTTATAATTGTAAAAGTTAAGTAAGTTAGATCAAGTTAAAGAACATTGATTCGATCTTGCAACTCCAAGTCTGTCTGAGTAATCTGTGTTAAAAATAGAAGTTCTAGAGTTGTTATTAAATATATTCAACAATATGGCTAATATTAAGCATGAGCTATCCTTCATTCTAAGTGAACCTGTTAAAAATCAAGCATAAGCTATCCATCACCTCAAGTGATCCTGTTAAAAATCAAGCATAAGCTATCCATCATCCCAGGTGTACCTGTTAAAAATCAAGCATAAGCTATTCATCACCTCAAGTGATCCTGTTAAAAATCAAGCATAAGCTACCCATCAACCCAGGTGTACCTGTTAAAAATCAAGCATAAGCTATCCATCATCCCAAGTATGTCTGTTAAAAATCACGTATAAGCCATCCAACATCCCAAGTGTGCCTGTTAAAAATCAAGCATAAGCTATCCATCATCCCAATTGTGTCTGTTAAAAATCAAGTATAAGCCATCCATCATCCTAAGTGTGCCTGTTAAAAAAAATTGCATAAAAATATTAAGTAGTAAAAAGTAATCATTAAATATAATAACTTTTCATGAAACCCACGTATCACGATCATGGCCTACATCTGTATTTCCACCATGAAAGCTTTTATTACTCAAGGTTCTGTCTGACAACTCGTTACTCCGTATACTGCTGTTTTCGAGTGTTTTAGAATATTTTATATTCATGGTATTAGCTATTTTCAATATCACATCCCACGCCGAGATTTAAATGGAATATGAAGTATACACATGCAGTTTAATATGATTTCCTTAAATCGCTACAGCATGGTCGATTGAAAAGCACAGCATGCGATTTTTAGTTTGGGGAAGTCTAACAGGATAATGCTGTAGGAGAGAAGTAAAGGTTAGGTGAAGGAATGTTATACTCTCCTATGCCGAAACGTTTGCTTAGATAAAAAATATCATATTTTATCATTCTTCAAATAATATAAAACGATAAATGTGAAAATAAAAGGAATTCGGAGAAGTCGCAAATAATGTTTTTTTTATCCGTCGCTTTCTCGTTCTTTTATCGTGGTTTTTGTAAAATGAAGGAAAATAAACTTTGACAAAATAAAAAATGATCTTACGATATCAAAAAACTCGTACTGGGGAGGATGAGGGAGGTTAAGATTTGAATAACCGCCGATAAACTGAAAGTGACAAGTACTTACACAATATTCCTGAATAATTCAGACAACGTGATTTGAACGTTGCAATATGAACGCGCAGGGGAGTAGTATGTTCTTATGTTGTATATTTGAAATTAAATAAATTTACCAAAACATGTTACCGCTGTCCTTCTAACTCTTTCAAGAAAAATAAAATGTTTTATACTGTCATTTACGTATATGTTTACCGTGTTGGAATAAAATACAATAAACAACTCCTCGGGAGATAGGCCTCTTACTTTGAGGTACTTTGGACCGTTGATGGCCAACTCGAAGAAAACTAAAATATGGAAGTAAAGCTTAATTTAACCTGATAAGTATTAAGGTAATTAAAAATTTGGCGCCAAGAGCTTCTGGTGATCACGTTATTACCTCTTTCACCAATGTGAACTGTTTGAGTAACACTAGAAATCAGGTCTTGACGATCGACCCTTCATAAGTTCCTTAGCTGGTTTGGATGTTACGAGCGTGAGGTGTTGCTGGTTAGGAAACTCTTAAACACACTGTTCAGTCCATTCGTGATTGAGATTGTACAGAGGTTGTCTTCTCAACATACACTGGCATGAAATGTTCCTGCTAGTCATGCCCAGTGTAGTGTCCTTGAGTTGTCGAGTTATTTTCAATAAAAGGTCCCTTTTTGTTGCTTGAGTTATCCCAGGTTGTTAGTTAGTGAAGAGAACCAAGTCTTGTCCCATGCTTCATTAGACAGTACTGGTTTTTATAGATCCTCCTTAGTTTGTTCTTTTACAATTTGGTGTTGAAGAGCTTTTGGCTAAAGTGGTTTGTTTAATACTATCTAAGTCCATACATAGGTCTGAAAATAGAAGGCGAATAATAACAAGTGTC